ATGCCCAGCTCCCTCAGTCTTTCCTCATAGGAGAGATGCTCCAGTCCCCTCATCATCTTTGTAGGCCCCTTTCAGGCCATGTTGTTTTTCTCAGGTGCCCTCTCCTGCCACCAAGCTCTGCCAAAGCACTTTGGCAGCTCACTCCAAGTACAACAAACAGCTTACTTTTCCTGGCATATTTTTTTCCTTTATTATTTTATGCACTCCATAAAAACCATTGCAGGTTTTCTTTCACATTCACGAGGATCTTCTGGAAATTATTGCCATTTCCCACACATATTACATATAAAAATCAAAAACATCAACAGACAAAAGGAGCCCCTCGTTCTGAACTCCCTGCAAACACAGAAACCAATGTGACCAGTTTTCACAGAGGAAGGCTGGCTAAAAGGTGACCACACACGCTAAGCAAGCCACGTAACACTGAACAAGACCACTTGACCACACACAACACACATCGGGAACACTTGGGAGGGATGGAGGAAAAGGTGGCTTGGAACTGAGCTTCTCAGGTTGGTTTTTTTTTTTTGGTGTCAAAATCCAGCAGTTACAGTGTCATCTGATGGGAAGTAACACGGATGAGGATTGCGGAGACATTCAAGTATTCTAGGGCTGTTCTTAAATAAGAGATGGGAGGATAATAGCTCAGCAGGTGGCCTGATAGCTTCAGTGAAGTCCCCTGCTTTAGTTCAAAGCACACCCAGTACAAAGGCAAATGCAGAGGTACAGGAAATGCCACACCTGAATGGATCCAGGGTCTGGTTTGGGATCCAGTTACGCTGCGGTCAGTACCTGACACTTCAGAGCCTGGAGCAGGAGAGGGGATTTTCACCTGGTTGTGCAAGTGTCCTGGGAAAGGGGGTCCCCTCCTGCCACCCCAGCCCTTTGCTCCCTGAAACACGACACGGGGGAGGGGAGGAGGAAAGCCGGAGAAAAAGCAGAACGAATATTCACTCCCACCACCTCAGTGGTTGCAAAGGTGGTGCCCTTTGTTTTGCTTTCTTCCCTGCTGCTGCTGTTTATTGCTTAAAACTTTAAATAATGGTCTTTTCAAAAATAAGAAGGGAAGGAAATGGGAACTGAGAACATACGAAATGGCTTTCTCATTGCTCCCCAGGAATCTGGAAATACAGTAGTGGGTGCACGCTTTATGGATAAAAACCTAAAAAAGCACTTTTTTTTAAAAAAAAGACAACAAAAGTTCAGAAAACCTGCCACACTTAGAGCACTTGCATCTTACAGTCACAGCATACGAGAAGTATGACCCACGACAACAACTCCATCTCAGACCAAGCCGATG